GGCTCGTCGTAACGTTGCTTCTCTGCGTATGCGACCTTGGCCATTGGGTCAGAGGATAGGTCTGCCAGGGGTGTGACGAGGTCGTGTCTGCCGGATAGGACGCGACACCAGTTCTCGACGAGTTCGCGACGGCCCATGCCGTCTGTTATGCTGTGCGGGTAGGTTATTGTGACGAAAGTTGCGTCAGTGAAAGTTATGATGTGGAGGGTTAGGAGGGGGCGGTCTATGGTTGTGTAGTCTACGAAGGTTCTTGGTGCTTCGGGGCCGGCGAGGAGGGGGGTGAGGGTTGAGGGGGTATCGAGGATGATGGGATGGTTTGGGGAGGAGGTCGTCGTTTTGGGAGGGAAGAAGAAGGAGGGAATGGTTGAGGATAGAGGGTGCGTGGAAACGCTTGAGGGGTTTGGCTCTGTTGTGAGGTGGACTGCTGGGCGGGAGGGCGTGAAGGATTGAGGGATGTGAAGTTCGAGTTTGCCGTCTTTCTGATATGATTGTTAGTTACGGATACATTTGATGTGTCTTTCACAGACCAGGAGTTGGGTAGGGGCTTTGAGGCGTCGTAGAACTTACCGTCAGTCGCGGCCTTCCGCCCAGCTTTTTCCAGTTGCCGATAGTGAGAAGCTCTGAGAGCGAGTCGTGGAGCATGACAGGGTCAAGAACGTCGTGGAAGCACATGCTCCAGCTCATGATCATCATGCGCATCATCCAGGAGCTGTCCATGGCGGAGAGCTGCACCACGGTATCTGTGGGGATCCGGTCCGGTTGGCGGGGCTCGGGGCCCAGAATCGGGTCGAGCAGAGGCCGAAGGGACGGCATGACTGGATTCTGGGTATAAGTTCTCTGACCGGAAACTAATCGTGAGGCTGGGAGAGGGTTTGAAGTCGACTCAAATTCTGCGAGAGTAGTGGTTTGAGCAGAAGTTATGAGATCGGTGATGTTGGTGGGCTGGTGAGGAAAGTCCCAAGAGACGAACACAAGGGATGAACCTCGGTCGTCCAATAGTGCAATAAAGTGTAAACGGCATCGTGCGGACAGGGACATGCCCTGTCGATAGAAAGCTTATACTGGTGATAGCCGTTGTCAATGATATGGGGTGGGAGGGTCTGACTCGTGAAGGGAGAGATAACCTACAGATAAGGTCAATTTAGATGAAGAGCTCGTGGGGCGGTGAGATGACTGACTGTGAGACTGAGTCGACCATTCGTCTTGACGAGTAGAAACGGGGAACAGACTATGGACGCCTAAGAGCTCAAAAGCGGTGCTTTCGAGATAGACTAAGTAGGGCATCCTACTGCCAAGACATGGAGACCGGTTGTCTGGCTTGAACTTTGTCTTTACTCTCTCGGAATAAGACTTGAGTCACTTGGAGGCTTTATCTGTTGCTTTGTTAGAAGAGAGGCATCCAGGGACTTGGACAGTATCGGAAGCAACATGCCACTCACCATCGAACCCCTCCATCCCACTTTCGCGGCAGAGATCCGTGGAGTAGACTTCTCCGAGCCGCTTTCGAAAGACGTCTTGCAAGAGATCCAAGCTGCCATCACAAAGGTCCGTATCAACGACTTTCTCATAGTCTTACAGGCTTATTGCTCATCATTCGAGGTGTAGTATGGAGTCCTAGTATTCCCAGCAACCGGCCTAGACGACGAACGCCACGTCGCCTTCGCCAGCCTCTTCGGCCAACTCGAGCGCCGCAAAGACACCGGCGCGCCGTCGCGGATGAGTCTGCCCGAGTTGACGGATCAGGGTAATATCGACGCCAACGGCAACGTCATCAGTTCTCAAGATCCACGGGCTCAGATTAGCAAGGTATGTCTCTCCCGATTAGCTTCCAGCTAAGGCATGAGCTCAGGAGTATCCATCTCTGACGTTTGAGTAGGGAAATACGCTCTTCCACGTCGACAGCAGCTTCAACGCCCAGAGAGCAAGTTACTCCATCCTCTTGGCCCACGAGATTCCCCCATTGGAAGCGGGCGGCAACACCGACTTTGCCGATACGCGCGCAGCGTGGGATGAGCTCCCCGAGGAATGGAAGCAGGAACTCCTTTCCAGGGATTACGTCGCTGGCCATTCATTCTGGTATTCCCGCAAGAAGGCGTGTCCCAACTTCTTTGCGAAGCTTGAGCCGGCGAAGCACCCAATGTCCAAGCACAAGGTCGCCCAGCTCCATGAGGCCAGCGGGAGGATGAACCTATTTGTGCCTTCGCACTGTCACCATGTTGAAGGCCTCGATGGTGATGAAGGGAGGGAGAAGCTGGAGTACCTTTACCGCCACGCCACGCAGGACAAGTTTGTAGTTTCGGTTCCGTGGAAGCAGGTTGGCGATTTGGTCATGTGGGATAATACTTGTACTCTCCATCGAGGGACGCCGGTGGTCGGGAGCCATAAGAGGGATATGAGGAGGGCGACGGTACTGGATTGGAGCCAGGGAGCTTGGGGCCTTAACGAGAAGGTCGAGAGGGACTTTGCATTTGCGGGAGAAGTTATGGCTGATGTGTTTCGATGTTTGTCTGGTTGATATCTTGCGATGAGGTTTAAGTAGTCGGAGGATAGCTCGTCTCTCTGTTTCTCTGGAGGTGAAGTTGGCCTTCAACAAGACTGTTTTCAATCAGCAAGGCCCCCATTTCTCAGTCCAGCATTGACTTACTTTCAGATACACTGAAGCCTTTTGAGTCTCTTCAACTCTCAAGAACCCAGCCAGTCTTTGATATCAAAGACTTTGCAGCAACCCGGGCTGCAAGTATACCAACTCCATTCAAGATAGCCTGCTCCATTCCAGCAAAGCAAGGCCCTGCCTTCTTGATTCAAGGATCGCTTCCTTGTCTTTCTTTTGCCGGGTCCCTCCAATACTTCAAGGCAGTGTCCCCGCCTCCCGTCTAAGTGCCCCGTCCCGTCAACACTTAGTTACCACAACTCACCTTAACCCCCCAACCCGGGCACGGGAAGAGAGTAACTGAAGTCCCCGCCCTCGATAGGCAACCTCTGAAAGGCTCTTTCCGTTTGGTTTGACCGCCCATCACGTGGTCAACGACCTCTGAGTGGCCCAAAAGGGGTTGTTTCCTCCCCTTTCGAGGCATCGTGATGAAGAAGGAGGCAGACTCGGCCCGTAACGGAGGCAAAGCAGAGAAGGACCCCCAAGGCATCTCGTCCCTTCTTCCACACTTCACCTCGCGTTTCCTCCTTGCCTCGTCGTCACTGAGGAATTTCATCATTCCATCTTTGGCGCACCTCAAACACCTTCCACTCTACCCCATCATCAACCACTTCCTCTACTTTCTTCTCCTCAATCCTCCATCGCAACAGGCTCCAGCCGAGCCTTCAAGACACCATGGCTGAAACCGCGGACTTGGTCACCTATGACGATCTAGTGGCCAAGATCAAAGCCGCTGTCGCCAAGAAGCTCGCCGAAAACGAGTCGGCTCCCGATGCTCCTCGCTCTGTTATTGTGCAGCGCAAATTCATCAAGATCAAGATGAACCGTCACAACCTCGCTACCATGCCCAACGAGGTCCTCGGCATGATCACTACGCTTTGCCATGATCACCAGGGCGGAGGCCGCGAGAACGTTCGCAACCTCTGCCTCGTGAGTAAGCGCATCCATGACATCGCGCGTCGCGAGTTGTACCGCACCGCTCCGATCCAGACTCCCAACCAGCTTGCGTGCATTGTCAGAACCCTCATCGAGCAGCCCTCTACCCGAAAGCTGATCCATTGCGCGCTGATCAGCATCGACACGAACAACTTCACCGGCAAGAATCCGGCGGCTCCCACTTTCCGCCACTTCTCGTCCACTCATCTTGATGACTCCAAGCTTTCGGCGCGTGATCGCCAGCTGCTTATCCTCTGCAAGGCTACCTGTGGCACCAAGGCCCCCGAGAACCTCCAGTGTGTTCTCGGCCTCTTCATGTTCCTGTTAGAGAACACTCACCACCTCACGATCTACGTCGACAACTACCTCTCCACTGTCGACCGCTTTCTGACTGCTGGCCTCTGCATTCTTGCGGCCAATTCGTCCAACAACCTCGACTACTCGCCTCTGTTCCCTTCCCTAGCGAGCTTGGACTTGATCAGCAAGACCTGGCTCCAGAGATCCAGCCAGACCTTCTTCGGCAAGGTCTTTCAGCCCACCTTGGCCCTTGCGGCTTCTTCGCCTCTGCTCGTCGATTTCGGTTTCAAGGGACCCGAGGGCGAGCTGACCCGCGTTCTCATGCAGTGTGGTTCTGATGTCAAGTTCCCCTTCGAAAAGATCCTGCTGCATGGTAGCGACTGGACCGCCTCGAGCCTCTGCGTTCTGCTCCGCCGTTGCCCGAAGGTCAAGCATCTCGAAGTCGAGACGATCCCGGACAGCGCCAACCACTTGATTGGACAGAACATCAACAGAGTCTTGCCCAAGTATTGCCCCAAGCTTCGAGTCCTGTCTATCCGCTTCTTCGGAAACAAGGAAGACTTCTTCGGTCCCCGTTTAACCCTGAACTGCCTTCCCAAGATGGACAACCTGAGAGAGCTTCGCATCGAGATCGATTCTTTCGTTCGCGAGGCCAAGTACCTCGGCGACCTCAACCTTGCCGAGAAGCTTCCTGACAGACTGGAGAAGCTCTTCCTGGATGCTTCGTCCGTGAAGTTCCCGGGTAAAGTCACGTCCAAGACCCCCGCGGTTCTTGCGCACAAGGAGCACGTGAAGAGAGTCATCGAAGATCTCTGCGAGACACGCGCAGAGGAGATCCCTCTCCCTCGTCTCGACACCATCGCCATCGGTTGCAAGTACAGCAAGCCGAAGCAGTGGACCAGAGTCGCCAATGACACCATGGCCGACACCGACGCCAAGCTCCGGGTCTACACCGCCGCCGACGCCAAGACCTTGTGGGCGAAGTCTTTCGACCAGATGAACGTTTGAATTGTATCGAGGCCACACCGATGGAGACATGGCAGCTATGGTTTGGCAAGGGGTATCATGACGACACTCTGTGCAAAGGAAGCTGGCATCAACAAGGGTGGAGGTCCAAAAGGAGAACACAGATGGCTATGGTGACTGCTGTGAAAGCTGGATAAACAAGTCTGGAGGCCAGGATGGGGAATGGGGCCCGATTTGTGTACTCTCGCGGGTATTTAGCTTTAGCAGTCCAATACTTTGGCCATGACTTCTCTTGATAGGCTCCAAGCCGATGACAGTTCTCCCAGCATCTGGATCAGGGACTGGCTCTCTTCTGTGATGTTGAATGCTTTGGCTGAGCGACTCGCCTGGACTGCGCCGTATACAAACACGAGTGGTGCATGTTGAAGCCCGTACTGACTTCGATAGGTCCGTACCAGGGAGGTGATGTGCTGCGCGGATGTGACACAGTAAGACTGTGGCTTTTCGTCCGCGTCGCTTCTCCGGGATGCAATGGCCTGGTCATAGTTCAAGGCGATGCGAACACTGTGGAATAGAAGGCTAATACATTTTGTTTAGGACGGATAGGGCCACATATCATGGAAAGTTGACATACTGTAATGCCAACACTCCTGGTATCGTCTTTGATGACGATCCACCCCATTTATGCCACTTTGCAACATCGGGCAGTGATTCGCGCCACCGGTTGAGGTCTAGGTTCAGGTTATCGAAGCAGACTCGTCGACCGAGGTCGTCTAGGTTGGAGCGCGGAGAGAAGAGCGTCGACATCATTCTCTCGATGATGCGCGATAGGCGGATCTGTTCGTAGAGGTACGGGATCATGGAGCTCGCTTGTGTGGATTCTCTGTATTCTTCGTCGAAGCCTACGGGGCGCCAAACATTCATTTCGGGGGGCTCTCTGGGGACGACGTGATTAGACTACATCTGTTGAACGAGGACGCGAGTAAAGATAAGTGTGGAGGAAAGGGAGTCACGAACGGCAACGGTTCCATGGGCTGAACCTCGGCGTCGTCGTAGACTAAGTATACGGGTCGACCAAGGATCAGACTGATGAACTTGTCGGAGATGTAGCAGCCCCAGTAGATCCTTCTACGAATCTCGACGTCTTCGGGTGTTGCGAGGGATGAGTCGTGTTGGACCCAGTCTTTGGGGTCTCGTTGGAGGCCAAGGTCCTGGGCCATGCGGAAGGCGATTCCTTGTTGGGCCGTTCAGTCAGCCCGACTATCAAGATAGAGGCATTGAGAGATATTGCTGCTGGATACGTGTGCTTACCAGAGTACCCCCAGCCCTTGGACAAATTACCCCTCCCAATCTCGTAGAGCGCAAGACATAGGAACGCCTGAACGGTAGCGACGCTCGGCCTCGTGAGCCCCGTCACCATGATGATGCTTTCCGCCGCAAGAAAGAATCGCTCGCTCGTGGCCTTTGTATCTAAGCTGACCAGCGCGCCGAGGGCGCATATGGAGAGGAGCAGCGCGGGAGACCAGTACTTTCTGGTCTTCCCGCTACTGCTAGCATCACAATCGCCGTCGTCATTGCTGAAGTGGTCACGGAGAAAGGCCTCGCGGTAGATGAACATGAAGTGCGGGTATTGCCAGCGGAAGAATTGAGTCAGGGAGTGCAGAACAGCGGGAGAGTATGGGCCGTCGATGCCAAAGTGTTGCATTACGGATTCGAAGTTTGATTCAATGCCGCCTCGGAGGAGGAGAGCGGCGGCAGTGGCGCAGGAGGGGTCCTTTGAGTCTTTGGAAGAGGAAGAGGGGAGATCGACGCGAAAGATGGAGGTTGCGCCGTGGTAGATGAGGGAGCCTTCGAGGCTTAGCTCGAGATTTGCGCTTGAGCGGGCGTGGATGCCGAGGTGGGATATGTAGTCGCCTGGTGCAGGTGCTAGCGCCGGCGCCGGCGCCGGTGATGCTGCTTCGTCCTTAGAACTACTGGGAAGAGAATGGACCTTGTCCTCTGCTGCTGCCGTGGAGTTGAGCATCTCCTCTCGCTGCTCTGGCGCAGCAGCACGGAGAGATTGAACAAAGGTCTCAAGCCAGGAGATGCGGGACTCGAGGCTCGCGACGTATTCGTGAGATACTGGAATGCGTTTACGATCTACGGGGCGATATTCACAAGGCGTATTGGACGTGCTGCAGTTCTGGCATGGCTCGGTGCGGGAGCATTTGAACTGAGGAGATGTCTCAGCGAGGAGTTGGAGGGATCATTTTCGTGTCACTGACTTTTCTGTACTGGCATCTCTTGCATCTGTTCGGTTGGTTAGAAACGTGTACTACGGTGATGCAAAATACAGCTTACGATATCCTCTTGGTGGATTTAAGGGCTGTTCTCTGGTCGTCTGGTGGCATTGTTCAGGCAGAGCCAAGGCGGGTTTGAGAAGAATGAGGTTGGTGAAGATGGGAAGTTGTGGTGGGGATTGGAGGTGGCCGATGCGGGATGCTTCTCACTGTTTTTCCAGGGGGGGTTGCGCTGGAACATTTTCCTCCACGCCGCTATTGCCTTTCTGGCTCTGAGGGTCAACACTCTGAGGATTGCGACATTCAACAGAAAAGAAGTTATCAAAGATCATCATAGAAGACTGCCTACGCGTTTCTCTCATTAAGAAACATCGTCAATCGCAAGTCAAGACTGTCGGTTTGTGTCATTCCATCATCCCCTTTGATCGCGTATCACTAACACGCTGGGATGCCGCTTGCAAGCCCTGTCCGGATCACCGTCATCAATCTCTCCGCATCTTCCAGATTGCTATAGAAGCCAAACGAGACTCTGATACCGGTTCTAAATGTCGTCGCTACGATACCTGCTGCCTCCAAGCGTTCAGACCACCTCGGGTCCTGCAAACGAAGAACATGAAGATGCGGTGCGTGATGTTTCCTCTCGCTTGGCCCAACGACGCCAATACCCAATTCAGCGCAAGATTGCCGCAGCACATCTCCAAGGCTGTACAGACGCTGCTCGAGATTTCTGGGGCCCAGCACTTCGAGATAAAATTGGAGAAATGCTCTGGCGGCCACGGCTGAGATAAAGCTCATGTTGGCGTGTTCATATCGTCTCGCGGTAGGGTGGAAGATGATGGGGTCCTCCGGGACCACAAAGTCCTCCGAGTCGCCGACACAGCTCACCCCGCCGTAGCCTACAATGGGTGGCACTGGATCCATCTCTTGGATAACTTGTGTATCAACGTACAGCGCTGCGAAGCCGGTTGGCGAGTTGAGGCCCTTGTGCAGGCTGAACGCCGCCGCCGAAACACCCAACGCTTTCACATCGACGGCAGCAAATCCGACCTGCTGAGTCAGGTCCGCGAGAACGTGGATCCCCCTGTGCCTGAATGCCGCGCAGACATCCGCGACATTGTTCCGTTGTCCTGTGTGGAACATGATGGAACTCAGCCCGATCGCCCTCGTTCTCTCGTCAACGAACGGCGCAAAGGTGGCCGCATCCGCTGCTACCGGGTTCTCCGGGTCTGCGGGGACGAGTCTGACTTCTAGACCAGCCGAGCGGAGCGTCAGCCAAGCGAACGCTTGGTTCGGATGTTCGCAGTCGAGTATCACGACGTTGTCGCCAGGCTGGAACTTGAGACCGCGGATAAAGCTTCCCAAGCCTTCGGTGGTGTCCCTGACAAAGGCGATGGTTGATGGGTCTGTGTTGATGTACCTGCCCAGTAATTCTCTTACTGCCTCAACATCTTCTTTCCAGCGAGACTTTGGAGATGGATGATACAGAGCTTCCGAGCAAAAGCGGGAGAGGGCCTCGTTGACAATGAGATTTGAGGGAGGCATGAAAGCTGCGTTGAGGTGTGTTGTCTTGCCGCTTGAGACGAGGGGTACCAGGTGACGGAAGAGCTCAAAGTCCGGAGCGGTGGGCTGATGGGCAGAAGAGGTTTTGTCGATGCTTTTGGAGGAGGTAAGATGTTCAACATCGAACAGGTCTTGAGTGCTTGAAGGTGCCATAACTGAAGGTAGTTGCCTGAGACCGAGACGATTGTGGCATGGATTCCGACGATGGAGAAGAGACTTGAAAGGTGCCTTAGAAGACAATGATGGATTCTTCCCGAGAGTAAGTTTTCAGCAGCATTCTGCCTCTATCTTATATGGATCGCATCCAAAGCTCACAGAGTCCAGTCATTTTACACAATCAAGGTTTATCCAGAAGACCAACAGCCTTCTTCGAGACCACAGGAAGCCTGCTCCGGGCCAGCGCCGCCGACTCTCCACAATGGAGTTGCAACTCCGTCCAGTTAGGACGTCTACTGGTGGCCCACCACTTCCCTTTCCGGCGTGTGTCCGGCGATGGCCCGGAGCGGACTTGGAACTCCATGGTGGAGATGGCGAAATCCTCCGGGGCGCTACGGGGACACCTGCGATGTCGGCACATGTTATCATCATACGCAGTGTATCTCAGATGTTTTCGCATGGCTAAATTGTTCAAGACCTGTCGATTGGAGCGAAGGCACGCCTTGTGTTGGCCAGAATCCACTTAGGCTTCATAGGAATCGTCCAGCTGCCTCCCTCCAGGCCACGACTTCCCACTCTGGGAATCAACAGACGCTCCTTGCTGGTCATCAAGTAAAGGGGTCAGAGCGAAGAATGATGTTCTTTCCACTCGACTGAAGTCTTCTTCAGCCTGTTGAGCGGTCACGATGTGTTCCTGCTTCCGCATTTCATTGACACCATGCAGATGATGAGGAAGGCAGGCATGAAGCGAGTGGTAGAGGGTCATCGCAGGTGGAAAGAGGTATCTCATATTCTCTTGCTTACTTCACACTACCTCATCTACCGACTACCTTCTTGGCCGAGCCCAATCTCGTCCACTCTGTCCATCTTCACCACATCTCTCACTTCTCTGCTCCCCGATGAAATCTCCCACTCGACAGAACACCCATCTACCAGCATCCAAATACATGATACGACAACTGCAGCCTTTCCTACACCCTCTTGTCGATTGATGGCCTTTCGAGAAGACGCTCATCAAGAGTCAATCAACCAATCATAAAACTTGAACTTCCTCGCCCCCGACGTCTCAGCGATCCGACAACAAGAAGCACATCTACAACGGATACATAGCCACGAGACAACAAAAGTCATGGCGGGCGCTACTTTCTCATCACTGCCGAACGAGCTCATTACAATGATTGCCCACCACTGTGCAGACGCCTACTCTCTCTGTCTCGTAAACCTGAGAATACTCCCGTTAGCTCAACAGGGTTTATATTACACCATCAACCTTCCGCACACGCATTACAATCAACTGGTACTTCTCGTCCGAACATTGGTTGAAACCCCACATCTGCGTCACTTGATCCGCGAAGTCGACATTTCATTAGGCCCGGACGCTTACTACGACCCAAGCACGATGGAAACGCCGACAAGTCTCACCGATTGGCCCAGGTCTATACTCAACGAAAGCAAGCTCTCGGACACTGATAGTCATATCCTGCTACTATACAGACCGTACGCGACGTTTTCCCGATCAAAACCACCACTCGCCGTGGGGTTGCTGGTGGGCATGTTGCTCTGCTTTGGTCATAGAATTTGCTCCCCCACAATTTCTCAGATGCAAGACATCAACCCCGCTTCCCATCGATTTCAACTCATTGGATTGCGGTCAATGCTGTTGGTTGCCATTTCAGCGTTTTCCGTCGGGAAGCAGAGGGTCTGCCCGGAACTAAAGTCAAGCTCCTTGCTCCCTAGCCCGATCCACTCACAGCATGACTGTGTTTTTGGCTTAACTTTCAACTTCCTGGAACACTTCGTCGCTTATCCGACTCTGGCGACTTTTGTGTCCTCGTGCGATCTTGGCATATGGGGTCTACATGACCGTCCCGGGTATGGAACATCTCTTCCCACGAAGCAACTCATACTTCGGCGTACGGGTATGAATTCTGCAACTGTCGGCAGGGCCCTAAGGCGGTTCCCAAATCTCACGCATCTCGTCGTCGACTTCGATCCAGGTCCGCTTTGGAGTCGGATTTGGAATAGCCAGAACTTAGTAACAAATTCCGAGTTGGACGCCGCGATTACGAAAAGTTGTCCATGCATCGAGCATCTGACCTTGAAAGTTTGTGAGCAGGGCAATTTGAAGTTCTTTGGCGAGGACCCTACTCTAGAGATTCGCGCTCTAATAAACAGCACGTTGGACCTGTCCGGCCTGAAGGTATTCCACAGCGGAATTGCGATGTACTATTCGCTCCTCGAGACACTGGATGAACGCGCTGCGTTGGTCAAAAACTGGCTGCCTCGGCAGGCGGAAACGCTTTTGTTGGATACCACAGACACTGAAGAGGATATGACGGGCGTACCTTACTTTGAAGGTGTGGAATTTCTCGTCCTATCTCTCTGCCAAGCACATCATGAGGACCGCCTTCGCTTCCGAACCGTGGTCGTCACCGTCCTCGCTGGAGGCAACATTGACTGGAATGAAGTAGTCAAAGAGGCCAGGGAGTATGGAGCCGGAACTGACTTCCGACTGATGGTCGTCTTCTTTCCTGCGATGCTTCAGGCTTTCTGGGACGACACTTGAAGACAAGGGATGGATATTCCAGCTTCGCTATCAGCAGAAGACCAGCATGGAAATGCGATTGTTGATTCTGGATGATGGTTGGGAGGTCTCTGGTCAGAAACATTGGGTGTGGGTTTATGGCATTATCTTCAGCAGACAAGGTCTGGCTGGTCACTTGTGTAAGAAGCATTCAGATAGCCCGAATGATGCACTCTGATTCATTGAGATATCCCACGCGCCTCTTGTGTCTAATGAACGTCGTCTCTCCATTTGCGGCAGAATAGATGCCACTCACACATCGTGTTGCAGCTGCTCCGCGTGGTGTCTGATCTCGAGAAGAAACGCAGCTCCAGCGTCTAAGAGAATTTACGTGACAATCTCATGCGACCTACTTTACAAGCTCGCAGGATAGATTGGCCGACCGGCCCGCCCTGACCTGGTGGGATGGTTCTGGTTCTCTGAAAGACTCCCGTCTTCAACGACTGGATGCCATCACATCCCGATGTTGATGTAAGGTAGACTCGGGGGAGATTCTCGCCGTTTCCATGTTCGTTAACGCCGATAGACCACGTGACTGGATTTTCCGACGAGTTCCGAGCTTCCGGTGCACGTGCGTCGATGTCATCCGTTCCGACATCAGCCGATCGTTGCCCGAAGCGGCCACCAACGTCTTGCTGCAGCGTCTCTGATGATGAAGAGTCTCACACGGCGCCTCGTGAATGGCATAGCTGATCGTTCCTCGCTGTGGACGAGCAAGCAGGTCTTCGAGGATTAATGAGCAAGTTTCGTCAATGCGCGCAGCTCACTGATCAGTGCAGCAAGATGCGATTCCACCACGAAGGCCCAATCCGAGAGCTTGCGAATCCTCGCCTTCGATGACTGCAGGTTGCGGCACGGTGCAGATGAGGACGAGAGCGTGTACAAATACGGATACACTAGTAACACTTCCTATGCTCTAGAAGTTGGAAGCGTCCCATTCCGTCAGTCTTCTTCGGGCCTGACCAGAGCGGTCAGGAAAGTTCGTCTCCCACCGACATCATCCGCCATCGGCCGCCTGGTCTGGCAGCTTTGGAACCAAAGAGAACGGCGCCGTTCAAAGCCTCGAAATCGCTAGCATCGTGACTAAGAAAACACTCCGACGCGGTTGGCGGCACCAGTCAATGGGAAAAGGTGGTTGGGACGGGAACAGGGCAAGTCCAGCAGCAATTCGGTTTACACACGCAGCAGGGTCAATGCACCCAGGGTGTTAGAGCCGTGGGGTTCGCTGTCTGAGTGGTGGGGTTTGTCTCCTCCTTGCTGGTCGCGAACTTGTTGAAGAAGCGGTGATGAAGAACGGCCGAGCGATGAAGAACCGAAGACAAGAGAGAGAACGATCGATGGGTAGCATCATCATAACCTTCCAGGCAGGCGATGATCAATCGCAGAATTGCCCGATCATGCGCACATCTCGCACTCGAAATAGATAACGGCACAAATGCCTCGAGGGCCAAGGGTCTCAGCTACATCGGTACATCGCAGAGCGAGTGGTGAAGATTCACGCACAAAGGCCGCAACTCGAGACAGCCACACACACCGCAGGCGCAGAGTGACAGGACAGACGTCACAGCCACGGGTACCCCTCACTCGTCCTTCCATCATAGTGCCACGCATAGTACCCCTCCATCAGCGTTGGCGGTGCGCTTGGGGCAGCTTACAGCAATTTACGGGCAGGCAAAGGATGGGATACCCCTCCTCGCCACGAGTGCGTCCGACGTCAGCCGCCAGGCCAAAGATTCAGGGTCCTGCCTGAACGAGGACCGTTTGCTATCGTCGTCATACCGTTATCTCTGCCAGTCTCTCGCGTTGTCTGTCTGTCTCACGATATGACAATATCCCGGAGCAGCTTCTGGAACTTGCGACTGTGGATGCCACGGGATGCCTACCTGCTTCGGCAACAGCTCTAGAGATACGAATCTCAACTCATCTTCCTGCCAGGGTCAGCTGCAAACGATGCATTGAGGAACAAATGGCCGAATCCTAGCGCCTCCCGCACAAAAGACGCAACCCACCCGAACCTTATCCGGCAACGATGCGTTGAGATAAGAAGAGGTTGACAATTGGGAAGCATCGCAGTGGTCTTCGACCCCGTCGTGCCCGTCGGCCAGGATTGGTTTGGGCGGCCGAGGCGATTCGCGCGGCGCAAAAAAGGGCAAAAAGACCTCCCCCAAACCAATTCAACCCCCCATGGGCTATTCCATGGACATCCATGCCGGGCCAAGTTCCAGCCCCGAAAGAAGAGGGGGACGACTGGCTACCGTCAACGCACAAAGACCGCAAACCCCACCGAGGCACCCCTCGTCAATAGGTCGCCAGTCCCGAGCCACGACGCTGGCTTGACTTGGACTGCGTTTCCGCACAAACGGTGCACCCGCCCAATGACGGCCCCCCGATCCGGTCCCATCTGGCCACCCTCATCTGACATCTGACCCCTCCTCCTGCTACTCCCAGTGTCCCCTCCTCTGGGTGACTATCCGAGCTGCTAAGAGGAGGCTCTGGATATATAAGTGCGCGGCTTCTTACCATTCTTCTTCCGCCTCTGATCTGATCTCCACAACGTCAACATCCAAGTCCATCACGTCAACTACAACAACAACAACAACAACACCTTTTTAAACCCCCCAAAACCAACCAACAACCATCAAAATGAAGGGTGACTGCGGCTGCTCCGGCGCTTCTACCTGTATGTGCCTACCTTTCCCCCCTGCAACTGCAACCGCAACAGTGTTGTCGGCGGTCAGTCATTGGAGACTTAGACGCTAACCTGTCTCAGGCAACTGCGGCTCTGGCTGCTCTTGCTCTTCCTGCAAATAAACGCATCTTCTCTTGACGACCTATGATACGTTGCTGCTTTACTGCGGTTACGCTCTCTCTCGATACGACGACGATATGAGTTTTTGAATTCGGGATATGGGTTACGAATTGGTTGATGGTAGTTTGCATCGGCGGATAGTGTCTCTTCTGATCGATGGACCTAGTGGCAATTTTAGTCACTCACTTGAGCAATACATCTTTTGAGACGCCGAAAGCTTGTCCCTGTGTTCCACTGTGATGAGGTTGCATGTGTTGTGTGCTGCTTTTGATCTCTTCCGGAATTGTTCCTTGACTTGAGGAACTGCTGAATGGCGATGTTATCTTCTGACGGACGAATTCCACGACACAGAAGCCGGACGGCGACAGCATGCAGTCCCCATCTCTTTATACAACTGTCCAACCCCTCAAGGTGTCAATAGCGTCAACCTTGATCGTCTCATCAAGGTCCAGGCCAAGGCCTCAAGGTGCGTGTTGCCATATGTCTCAATCACTCAACTCTTTGGCTACGGGCCTCCGGTCTCCTTCTCTACCTTGCTTCTCTACCCCTCCAAACCTCTGACCGCTCCTATGATGAATCCGAACCCCGCCCCGCCCCGCCTTGGCTCCCCCCTTCGACTGGGACCCCTCCGAAAAACTCCCCTGAGAGTAAGCGTGCCGGTGCCTGTGGTTGTGGTGCCTGTGCAGCCTGTGCAACCACAAAGAAGATCGTCAACCTCAACTCAAAACACATCACATCACCCACGACAACCAGTCAACAAACCATGAGTTGGCCGATGCAAACACACGACTTTACCACATCTACGACGACATCGTTACGCCAGACCGCCAGCTTATACCGGGGACCATCACGCCAGTGGCGTACCAGCGCGTTCCAGCCCTCCAAGCTTCTCATGCTCCTAGCCCAAGAAACCTGGACTAAAAACAGGAACAAGAGAGAAGAGGGGTCTAGAGTTCTGGCCCATGAGGCGATGCCACGAACGGAACGCATCGGTCCTTGCCGCAGGCCACGGCCTCCGTTCCCCGCCAATGCCTCTGTTTTGGTGTTCTTCTCGAGACCCTGATAGGTCGAACCTGCTTTTGCTGGGGACCAAAGAATCCACATGCCACATGAATGGACGACATGTCCAGAACCCGCGACGCGATGCCTCCACCCTCTGGTTTCCATGACCAAGAGAAGCGAGCAAAGGGAACCAAGAAGAAGCTGGGTAGCTATCCGTGTCTCTCTTTTGTTACAGTGGTGAGAACAAGACATACAGGACTCCAAGGCATCAGGTCTGAAGCTATCCCAGCGTCATGTTCTCAAGCCTGAAGCACCAAGAGACTACGTACTGCCCTCCTGCAGTTCTCACAGAGTGGACTTTAGGTAGGTCTCAGATGACGAGCTCTATTTCTTTCCTTCTCCACTTCCTTCTGTAGCCCAATTGTCTTCAGGAACAGGGGGACAAGCTCTGTAGCGCGTTAGTTGTGGCGTGCCGAACCCGACTTTATGCTTGAATCTGGCCTTTTGTTTACTTTCACTTCAGTTCACTCCCCAGAGTTACCGCTCTCATGCCTCGATTCTCTAAGACGCGGGCATCTTGAGAGGCAACCCACGGATCATGGCAAGTCGCCAAGAAGTTCACGCCTCTCGTCTCCAGCCGAAGCAAGCGCGCGGCCGCCTCCCATTCCTCTGCCGAGAGTCTTCTACACTCACGGGCCATGATGATGCCACACCCCAAGCTTCAGAGCAGCTTATGATTCCTTCCCTTTCATCCTGTGTTTATAGAGCAAGACCACAATGAACCCCAATGTTGTCTTCCTTCCCCCAAGCCAAGAGACAAAAAGCAGGCCGCGTCATCCAATACACCAGAGAACCCTCTTGTGGCCTCTCAGTCGTCCCTGACTCCCCCGTATCCAAACCTGTCCCAGTTTGTCCCAGTCGCACCCTGCATGAGAGGCGTGTCCCCTCATGTACGCCAAGCGGCCCCCATCGCGAGCCCTCGGCACCCTCGTGCCGGCGGGGTCGAATGGCAAGAGAAAGAAGGGCATCAATAGACTCGAGGCATGGCGTGGGCAGTGCATTAGAGGCATTGAGTAGCTACCTACCTTAGTCCTACCTAACTTAGTCTGTCAAAGCCAAAGGTAGCTCCTATTACGCCGTGGACTCACTATACACTCAATGCCGTACAGCCATACGAGATATCCATAACCCGGCATCGCCGTGACGTGAAAAGGGAACCAGAGCAGAGCTACCCCTCCATCCATCCCACTTAAGCTCCCACCCCGCCGCCCCTCCATCGCCTAGCCTCACCCTCGCCTCGCCTTGCCCCCTGCCCAACCAACGAGCTCTCCTGGAAGCTCCCATGCCTGCTCCTGCCCCCTGTCAGCGGAGGAGGCTCTTGGCTCAATGAGCTACGTAGCAAGAACAGCACCGTCAGTCCGTGACACCACTTCCCATTGAAACCAGAGGTCACACGTCGTGACATACTAGGCACAGAAACGAACCGAAGCTATGGGAAGTGATCAATCCGGATCCAATTGGTTCGTGGGGGTGAAGCTAGCTTCTCCCTATAGGGCCAAACGGACAGGGCCAAGCAAGAGCCCAGATATTGCCAATGGGTGAGTTATTCAGCTCCAGATCCATGGGCAAGAGCATGAAGCTTCCTTGAGGTTCCCTGAGGTAGAAGCAGGGCGTGAACAGCGGCTCCAGCCAAGGAGAAGCTGCCATCGCCAATGGAAACCGGCTCCCCTCGTCCCAAGACCGCCATTTCCCATCTCCACGTGTCTGCAACAGAACGACAAAGTACCCAGTGAATACAATGGAGGCCTCTCTCTCTCTTCCACAGTTTCACTCCCCCTTGCCCCTCCTGAGCTTCCTGCGTACAGCTTGGTGTGAATAAGGTTCCAGCCACAAGCAACTGCTGCCCCATCACTCCTCCTTCCTAGGTAGCTCCTCCTTGTCATCCTCCATCCTGACGACATTCAGCATCTATATAAAGCATTCCCATCCCCCACTCTCCCGCAGCTCTTCTCTTCCCTCTGAACAAACTCAATTCACCTCAAGCATCCAAACAAACAAACATCAGCCAAAATGTCCAACTTCCACCACTCCGCCCAGGACACCCGCGTCGACGACGGCCACATCCTCCGCGCCCGTCTCCAGAACGGCAACGGCGACTTCGTCGACGCCGAGATCAACCTCAACGACTGCCTCGGCAACGACAACGGTCGTTTCGACTGGGGTGGCCGCGGTACGTCTAAATCCTCTTCCTCTTCCTCTCCTTTATCCTCTCGCACTCCCATACACACTCTATATCTCATTGGGGGAACCCGGGTTTCCCCCTTGACCAGTAGCTCTTTCCATGAAACGAGCAACAGATTCACTAACGTATCTCTTTCTAGGCTTCGCTGATTCCGCCGAGAACATCCGCTTCGAGTTTGAGGGCGACCAGCCCATCCTCCGCGCCCGCCTCTTCAACGTTGAGGGCCAGGCCATTGACGCCGACGTCAACCTGTGCGAGCGCCTGTCTAACAGCGACGGCAACTTCCACTTTGAATGTACGTCTTACACACACCGATCTCATTCTCTCTCAAAAATACGCATCTAACAACGCCTTTTACAGAAACGAATTGAAATAACAGCTTGATATGACGGGAGCGAGGAAGATGGAATGATTGAATAGCATGAAGCGTTTTTGCTTACGCGTGATGGAACGGGAATGGAAAGTCCCTGATCTATACCGACCTAGAGTTCGGTCACGTATGACTTAGGTAGCTGATAACTGAGCTACTTGCCCTTTTCGGGGCTGAATGAACCATCTTTGCAGTGTTCCTGATGTGAGGAAATATGGTCATCGGAATGAGATCCAACATCGGATGTTGGCACTTGTTGGGTTAAACCTTCACTCAACCCTTCCGACCAGTATTTCTGGTAAGCTAATCATTTATGCTATCGACTCGTCTCTCGTTTCTTCGTAAGATACGTCAAAGGGTATGAGTAATCCTCAAAAAAGCAAATCCAACCGATACGAACGCCAGATAAAACAATTCCCAACAGGGTATCCTTCTTCATCCATGGTCAAGCTTAGACCATACTCAACCATAGGTATCGAAAATACCACCTCCCAGTTATCCACCGTCAACATCTGAACGGTCGGTCTGCCGGTGCGTTCATGTGGTACAACCACTGCCAACACCGTCGCCCCGCTGCCGCTTCGCAGCCTGTTGACTCTCATCACCTCCTTCCGCATCCTTCTCGTCAGCCTTGCGCTTGGTATCCCGGACTGACTCCGCGTGATACGGGTTATCGGAGCCCTTGACGATTTGCTCCATGGCCTTCATCTTGGTTATGAGAGACTCTCTGACCGTCTTCGTCGTCTCGCTTTCAACGTCCCGGAGAACAGCAAATCCCATGGAACGGTACTCTTGGCCGTCAAGCCATCCTCGTATCTTTCCCTCCATCAATTTTGGAACGCTGCGGTAGACTCCTCGGATCGCTATCAAGAGATGCTGGTCGATAGTCGCCTCCAGCTTCTTCGTCATCGCAGCTGTGATGGCTTGCCCCTGGGTGGCGCTTCCCTGGGTAGAGACCCCAACGGGTTGACTAGCCGTCTTGTGTTCTGCCAGTGAAGCACTTTGCTCTTGAGACTCTGTCTTGACTACCAGACTGCCGTGTTGCTGAGTATTGCCAGAGGGGGCTTGTGGCAGTGGGGTCGACGGCGTCAACAGTCCGGACCCTTTAGTTCCGCTCGGTCTTCTGACCAATGCGCCATGCTGGGGTAGAGCGCCGCTCAAGGAACCACTCGATTCTCGTCGACTTTGTTGTTCCGAAGTTCGTTGAGTGTGTAAGGGAAGCCCAGCAGGAGGCTGCTTCGGAAGCGCGGGTCGGGAACCACACCCTCCTCCCGAGGCTGTGCTCGTTGCTGATCTCGACTCTGGCCTCGCAGCGGCTATGCCTCTATCTTGCTGGACGCTGCCACCGCGCTGTCTCTTTGGAATGACAAATCCGTTGAAGGTAGTCTTCGAATCTGTGTCGTTGGACATCGGCTGTGCCGTTTGATCTGTGATGTTCCTAATTGTTCCCTCGGAAGACAGTCTTCCAGCAACGCCTGGCTCTTGAATCGACGAAGGCCGCCTGCTCGGTTTCAAGCAACTGTTCTCGTCCACCGTGGCAATCTGTGCCAATGTCTTTGGCTCAGTTCTGGAGCCTACAAAAGAGGATGGGCTCGCACATCGATGTGAGCCGCCTTCATTTCCCGTCGAGGGCGGGACAGCGCTGGCTGGAGTATCACGAGCAGCAGCTGCTGCCTCGTTATTCGCCTTGATGGTCTTTGGCTGAAGGAAGAGCCCCGCGATAGCTGCGTAGTTAAGCGGCCCACTCATGTCCATCCCCTCGAGAGAGAATGCCTCCAAGTCAAGTGCGTTAGCACTGTTTACCTGCTCAGGTCCTTTCGGAGGCTTGTATTGTCGTTGCTCCTTCGAGAGCGACGGGTCGCAGCATTTGCGCGCGTCAAAGCCGGCCTCTCTCGCCAAGTCGACGAGCGTCTGATGCATGCTTCCATTGTTGAGGATCCGGGACACTTCGCAGTCGACAACGTTGAGTGCCGTGATGTAGTAGTGCTCGTTGGGGTTAGGTACAGGAAACTGGAGTGCAGAGTATATACGCTGCCAGCACTCTTGGTCCGCAAGCTGAGGAAGGCCCGTCAAGTCGAAGTCCCAGAAAACTGACCTGAGTTCTTTGTCAACTCTTGCAGCCTTGTCCGGGTAGTTTCTGAACGCGGGCAGTTTCTGGGACTTTGCCCAGTCTAGCCACCTCTTCATCCTGACGGCCCGGGGCCACCTTCTAAAGTCTGGAGGTGAAGACATTCTATGTACATGTTAGTCGTCCGCAAAAGGGGGAAAGGGTTTTCAGTATGATTTACCTGGAATGGTCCTTCTCATGTGCTGAAGAGAGGCAAGTAAGGTCTGAAAGGGACAAAGGGAAAATTTGTGTGGTCTGGCGCGATGAGATCCGAGGGAAAATACCTCAGGGGAAGGTATGGTCAGGAATGGTGAGATGAGGTTTTGACAAGAACCGAGCAGGTCTGAACGGCGGCAAGTGGTGTGAGAAAAATGGAAGGTAATGAGACGCAGTGGGTAAGAAAAAAAAGGAAAAAAAAAGCAAGGAAATTCGGGAGGGTAGAGAGGCAACGAGAGTGAAAAGGTTGTTGTTTCGGGAAGGCTGAGATATTTACCAGGTAGACAAGTGGAGGAAGGTGAAATAAGTCATCTTTGTGAAAGGCAGGTGAGGTCACTGGAGAAATATCATGGGAAAAGCCCTTGCCACGAAACACACCTCTGCCGGTCGAGGGTCGTCTGTTTGTTGGTCGTATGCACTCGCTCTGCACGTAGCCGCGTCAAGAACAACGCAGACTGGTGATCTCTGTTGTGAACAAACGGAGCCAAAGGGGATTACAGAGACCATGAACCACCAACATATCCTCCTTATCGTTCATGGGTGGGATGTTGAAGAGTCGGCGGATAGGTACGTGCAGATGATGCCTCGTCCGAGTATGAGTTCTGACATGAATTCAACTGGGCTGAATAGGGGAACAGCTGATGGTGTTTTCCAGACCAGAAATAAAGCCAAGAAACAAATATCAGAGCAAGAATCATTGATATTCCATATGTTACAAAGAGTACAATATCTGTACAAGTCTCCTCTATACCAGACACGTTTTTTCCTCTCCTTTTGGCCTTTCGCCTCTTCTCACCGAGCTCGACAACACCACACAATCTCTCCTTACGCCTTGCCCTGGATCCATGCCCTCTGCACCGGCTTGGCGAGGTGCTTGTGTCCGGTAACGGGCAGGCCTCTCTTCTTGAGCTCCGCCTCGATGACCTTCCAGCGGCCGACCTCGGTCTCCTTGTCGATGGGTGTGACGCGCTTGTCGCGGACGCGGACGTTGGGCAGATCGAGCAGCGCGCCCTGCTGGGCAATGGCCTCGGCGACCTTTGTCGGCTTGGGCGGCTTGACGATGGTGGCGATGAGGTCGCCGACCGTGTTGATCTGCGCGAGCTTGGCGTCGTGGACGCGGTGGCCCGTCAGTTGGAAGACGCGCTTGTGGACCTGTCGCAGCAAGTGTTAGAATGGATTCGGCCCCTTTTGCCAGTGAAGAAGAGAAGACTTACAGCGAACTTGAATCGTACGTCCTCGAGAGAAATGCTCTTCCAGGCTTCGCCCCACGCCTCAACCAACGCCTTGGCCTCGGCAGCCTCGACAACGCCCTCAGAGATACCCGCCTCCTGAGCCTCCAACAGAGGCGCAACGACGCCCTCAATTGCCGCAGCGTCACCCTCAAGAGAGACGCTACCATCCTCGCCAATCTTCAGCCCCAGCGCCGTGGCCCTGCTGAAGCGCTCCCCGTCACCCCTGGTCCACGCAGCCGTCAACCGGCCCTGCACCTCAGCAGAAGACCCAGCAACAGCAAGCGCCTCAACAACAGCCTGCCTCACGCGCGCGGCGCACACAACGGCGTCTGTGACAACCTCGCCGGCGCTCGCAAAGCCAACGTACTCGCTCTCCTTGCCCCAGCGGCCCTCCTGCTCCCACCACCCTTCAAGCCCACCAATCTCCTCGAGCCCTTCAATCGTCTTGGCGGGCACGTAGTCCCCTCCCTCGACCGCCTTCTCCGTCGGCGCCCACACCCGCTTATTCTTGATCTGGTGCGCGAGCCGGCTCTGGGGCTTCTGGCGGCGCTTCTGCTCGGCGCGCTGCGTCTCCTGGTTATCGGCCTCGAAGGCGGCCAGTTCGGCTTCGGCCTCGGCTAGCTCTTGCGCGATACGCTGCTGGCGGAGAGCCTGGGATGACTCGGCGGCGTAGGGGTCTTCGGGTCCGGGTGCGTCGCCGCCTTTCCAGAGGAACTTGCGCACGCGGCTGGGGGTTGCGGGTGTCGTTGAGAGGGCTCGTGATGCTGTTGCTGAGATGGGGAATGTGGCGGGCGCGGCGCAGGTGCATTGGATCGGGGAGGCTGCCAGCAGGCTCGGCTGCCTGAGACGGGGTACACGACGCATTGTGGGCGGCAGTGTCGTGATGTGTTGCAGAGGTAGAAGGTTGGTGATAGTTCCCTTTCCTCCAGGTACGGGCGAAAGACACAGCACGATGTTCGGTAGGGGGAGCTTCAAAGTCTCCAATTGAACTTTTTTGGATGCTGGGGTTCCGCTGGCGAATCAGAGAAGACGAAGCTTCAGCCACAATCCAGCAAGAATACCAGCCACATCAAAGTGGGTCGCGACCCTGATCCGCTCCGGCTGTGGCTCGTGCGTCCGTCACCTCTCTGTCGGGGAGCCAAAGACGGCGACAACTTCACCTAAGGTACCTCCCGCGCCGTCGCGAGAAACAACCCAGACCCGCTCGGCAGTGGACGCAGCTCGCCAGGATGAATCGCAAATCAATACTCTTGCTGCTTCTATGCAGCTTCGTCGCTCTTGTCAGCGCAAACTGTAAGTCAACTGCAAGCGCCAAGGCCTTCTCCCAACAATAGAACGTAATAGACGAAGGCATACTAACACCCCTCCAAGCAGCACCAACATTCTGCAAATGCACCTGCTTCAAAAACAGCACCATCGTCGCCCTCGGCCCCCAACACGCTGATGGCGAATCACCAGGCAACGCACCTCCCTCTAGCCGCGACTCCTCCTCCTCGTCACTTCTCAACAAGCGCGCCGCCTCCTCCTCCTGCTCGCAATGCACAAAGGCTTTTTGCCTCAGCCGCGGCATCGACTTCTGTAGCAAGGCCAAGGACGAGGATGTCCAGACCATGTGCTTCCAGCGCGATAGCAACAAGGACCGCGTTATTGTGTGGGGGTTCCTGCTGGGCACGTCGGGATTGCTGGGCTGGGCTGTGTTTAAGAGGGCGAATGAGCTAAGAGAGGGGAAGAGGGCGGCTGATGCTGCTGCTGCTTCTGGGGGAAGGGGGGATTATAGCCAGCTTTCGCCTGCGAGGCCGAATTGATTTGGGATCTGGCCAAGGGGTATTGGGATCTGGGAATGGCGTTTGGGCGGTGTGATTTGGTTTGGGGTTATGGGTGAGGTTTATGTAGGAATATCACGGGACGGAACGGCATTAGCCTGTTTGCATCACCAAAGTTTACGAAGTTGATGGAGACTCAAAAAGCTGTTTTGCTAAGCTATCTATCTCTCCTAATTGTCCTAGGCGCTCTCGAGCAATCCAGGGACACATGTATCATGAACCCATGCAACCGTGACTATAAACCGCATAAAAATCACTTTTCTTGTTTTCCTCCCTGGAGCCTTCAGAAATGCAAATGCTATGCATATGGGGTTGGTATGTTCCAATTCATCCAATCAAAGCCCCTCAATCCCCCTATTTCACTTTTTGGTATGTTTCCTCTCGTTCAAAAGCTTACTGTTACCAGGCGTTTACTCCTCCTCAAGGTGGGTAACCTTGTGCGAGTCCTCATTGCCGTTGGCGGAACCGGCGTTGCGCTCGCGGCGGGCGCGGACGGCGGAGGCGAGGCCCTCGAGGACGTCGACGGTGGAGTCCCAGTCGATGCAGGCGTCGGTGATGGAGACGCCCTTCTTGAGGGCGGCGGGGCCCTCGGCGGGCACCTTTTGGTTGCCCTCGTTGATGTTGGACTCGATCATGACGCCGATGATGGACTTTTCGCCCTCGCGGAGCTGGTCGCCAATGACGGCGGCGACCTTGGGCTGGTTGCGGTGGTCCTTGTTGGAGTTGCCTGTGGTGTGTTAGGAGTCTGATATATCGAATGAAACGAGAGGGCGATAAAATGGAGACATACCGTGGGAGCAGTCAATCATGATGGCCTGCTTCTGGCCCTTCTTGGTGAGCGTGTCCTTTGCCTTTTGGACATTCTCCTTGTCAAAGTTGGGGCCGTGGGAGCCGCCGCGGAGGATGACGAAGCCGTGCTCGTTGCCCTTTGTGCGGGTGATGGCGGCGAGGCCCTGCTTGGTGACACCCATGAAGTGGTGCTTCGCGGCGGCGGCGCCAATGGCGTCGATGGCGACGCCGAGGTTGCCGTCGGTGCCGTTCTTGAAGCCGACGGGGAAGGACAGGCCGGAGGCGAGCTCGCGGTGGAGCTGGGATTCCGTGGTGCGGGCACCGATGGCACCAACACTGATAAAGTCGGCGAGGAACTGGGGGGAGATTGTGTCGAGCATCTCGCTAGCGATGGGCATGCCGGCAGTCGTAAGATCGCTGAAAAGCTGGCGAGAGATGCGCAGGCCCTTGTTGATCTTGAAGGTGGAGTCGATGTCCGGGTCGTTGATGAGGCCCTTCCAGCCGACGGTGGTGCGCGGCTTCTCGAGGTAGGCGCGCATGATGACGCAGAGGTCGGAGGAGAGCTTTGCGGCGAGATCCTTGAGGCGAGCGCAGTACTCGATTGCTGTGGCTGGGTCGTGGAGGGAGCAAGGGCCGATGATGACAAGGAGACGGTCGTCTTTGCCCATGATGATGTCGACGGCCTCGTTGCGGCCGCGGACGACGGTTTGGAGGGCGGCGTCGGTCATGGGGATCTCGGAGGAGAGGAGGGCGGGGGGGATCAGGGGGTCCTGTCCCAGGACTGAGGGTTTGTTAGTCTTTGGGAAGCCATTGTAGTGATGGTTGTGGGTTTAAGGCGGCGGAGGTGTGGATGAGTTGAGTGAGATGAGTGAAGTTTAACATGAAGGTGTTGGTGAGAATGATCATGAGTGAGCCGGGTGGTGGAGTAAGATTGAATGCCGAATTGTTCAACGACGAGTTTGAGTAAAGTCTCGATGTGAATGAAAATGGCAGCTTGAGATGAACAGCTTGTGTGGGGCAGAGCGGTAGGGGTTCCATGAGTGACATTCCCCAAGGTGGGTGGGCTCATTCATCCACCTCATGTTGAAGAGACAGACGAAGAGGGAAAGAAAGTGACTCACTTCTCACGTCGTCAGCCGCGAGGGGCTCATGCTCAAGGTCAAGACCGGGCATTTTGGCTATGTGGTGATGGGGTTTGGGTATCTTGAAAACTGCGAAATTGAGCCATGTCAGTCAGTGACATTGTTTTCTCTCATCTGAAGCGCTGCTAGAGCGATTGGACCCCTCCTCCATGGTCACCGCTGGTGGTCGAGGTGGGTGGTGGATGCTGCTCATCGTGAGATTGACCGCAAAAACCACCCACCAACCCCGAAACGGTTCCCCAGGTTCAACGAAGAGGTCGATCTCCCGTTGCGTAGCAGGCAGTAAAAAGCCCAATCAAGGGTAGGGAAATAAGCTTACACTGATATTAACAACGAAAGCAGAGAGCGGACGAACAGCCGGTCGCCTATTGGATCTGACGGGGTATCGTGTGGTGAATCTGTTGCTTGAGCCGTCGTTGACCGAGCTTGGAGGAGTGGGAGGATGAATGTTCGTCCACAGGGGAAGGGGAGCGTCCGGTAGTGGCCTTTTTTGGGGGGTGTTGGTCGATGACTGTGGTGGGCGGTGACTCAGAGAGTGGGTTCGTTTTTTTGCTCAAGGTAGAAAATTCAGAAATAAATGAAGCCACTTGAAAAACGCTGTTTTCCCCCCGTTCCTTTGTGTGTGTCACTTGGTCACTGTGCTTGTATGGTTTGTGACTGGCGGCGGCGGACGCGGAGCCCTCTACTTTTTTCGGAGGCAGTCCCGCCGGGGCAAAGTCCAAAAGTATCTTCTCTCCTTTGCTTTGGACAGGAGGTACCTGATTAGGTCAATATCATGGTCACTTTGTGTTCAAATGCGCTGTTGGCGCTTCCTGTCCCACGTGTGCCTAGTCTTCTTCTGTCTGGACAATTCTTCAGTCCAGTATGGCGGGGTATCTACTGTGTAACTCTTCCCATTGCGAGTCACTTTCTGCTATTCTTGCCGGTCCAAAGTGAGGTTATCCGCGCAAATATTGGGTCCGTCGACGTCACAGATCCATCCATCTGATTCTCGACTGACCAGAATTTATCCACGGAATCATGGGCGGAGTGTGTGACGGCGATACGCGACGGTGACGCAGCGAAGAATGCCATGCCATGCTACTTTACCTAACGGCGGGCGAGAGTCAGGAAGCGCCGATGGCGGGGCAGAAAGAAAAAAAACTTGGAGGGGTACCCGGGCAAATGCATGCACCAGCACCAGCACCAGCATACAGCGGAAATATTCTTCCCTCTCTTCTCCTTCACCGCCCACTTCTCTCGACTGCTACTTTGAATGATTACCTCGAGAACCATACAAGCCCCCAGATAGTCACATCAGGTCTGATCATGTCAGGTCTGATCATGTCAGACGAGAGAAAGAATTATGTTACATGTGCTTCCTGACATTGGAGGCCTTGAATAGAGATGAGACGCCATTAGCGTTAAACGCCCCTCTCTCTTTTGCCAAAAAAAAAATGAAAAGAAGAAAAGATTTTTGTGAGAAATTGACAGCATCTCATTGGCCAATTCCCTCGCGGTTTCACCGAAGCCTCACCTCGGTTTGTGGGGTACCGATGCCGGCAATGGACCAAGGTGACAAGGTGAGCGTTCCAGGTGCGTCCGCCTGGCGCGCCGTTACATCCTCCAGCCCCCCGCGGCCCCGACCCGCATCTCAACGAGGCCGGCGAATCCACTTTCAACCTCCTGCGGGAGGGACAAGTAGAGGACAAGGCTGAAAATGGGACCATGACTTGCTACACGTTGTTCTCCGCTGTCGTCTTTCAACTTGCAACGAGAATACCATGTAACAGCCCCGTGAAGTTTGGACAAGGCGTTAAAGACCACCGCAAATAGAGGTGAAACCCACACGCCGTTGGCCCCGGCTCTCTGACGGGACCTTGGAGAGATCGACGTTGGCTCTGATCACGTTTCGCGGATCAAAGTCTTGGCCTTGTTCAAAATAGATTGTTCCTGGGATCAGAATCTCTCGATGCTGGTTTCGATCAGAATAAATAAACCGGTGTTGCCTTCGGATATGAGTAGAAATAGAGTTGGGGAAAAAATTAAAATGAGGCTGAAAGTTGTGGTGAAGCACTGGTTGACAACCGGATTTGAATCTGGGCGCTCGCAACTTACCTCTAATGGCCACCGGAGAACATCGCTGTCAAGTCCTATCAAAACAGCCAAGCTTGTCACTTGTCACTCGAACTTGTCAGTCAGTATGCAAAAAGCCGTGGCAGAACACCAAGTGCCTTAGGGTTCGGGTTTACTAAACCGGCATCTGATCTCGTTCCTCTAAGTCAACCGTGACTCAGCTACCAAGAGCCCAAAGCCCTCGGTAGAACGGACGTACGACTGTGCGTTCGGCTGGTCCGTCCGACCAGTCTCAACCATTGCCCTTTAGAGTGAACGACTCATGGGGTTTAGGCGGGGGACCAGCGCCGTCTTGTGTGCTCATCTGAGCGGTTGTTGGCGCACGTTCAGGGCCCGGACACGGCAGGATTCTTCGTTGTGATCTACCGTATATTGACAGACACGTCCAAGTTGTATTTGCGTGTACGTATGTCCCGTAAATGGCACCCTGACGGCGGTTACGCGTTGTAGCGCCAGAGATCCAGCACGGAACAGCTGAGACATGCAACTCTAACATGACTTTTAGACAGGTATAAATGGATTCTACGCGGACGTGAGATGTATCACCTATTAACACAGCAACATCATCAACCAAACACGTTGTCAGGTAGGGTAAGGCCCATCGGGTTGAAGACGGGCCTCACGCTCTGTCTTGGCCATTGCTTTATTCTGCCTTTTGACGCAGGGTCGTGGTAGTGCCAACAGTTGGAACCTGCTGCCACCGTGCTATTCGCCGAAGAGCGAGCTACTTGGCAATCGAGGTTTGCGGCATGGCGCCAAAGATTCAGAGCGGTGCGCTTTCGACTGCCGGGAACCAGATCTTGCGCAAGCTTGGGTCGATTCGCGTCTTTAGACTTTTTTGAGATGCGCGAGGTGGCCGAGAGGGAAAGATACGGCCGGCCTTTTTTCGAACTGGAAGCCTCGCTTTCTTGCATACCTAGATCGCGACAATGGTACTGCAGAACTAGCCACACATGAGACCGATAGACCTTCTTCAGCTAGTGAATATTGCCATCGAGAAGACTCAAGACTGAGTATTTAGCAAGACTGGGTGTAGGCGATGACCTTAACGACGACGTAAGATGGTCACTCAAGCTCGACCTCCTTCGCAACGTAATCTTTTCTTGGGAAGTCGCCTCCCATCCACAACCAACACGTCCCACAAGGATATCGCGAAGGAATACTCCGTAGAGATCACTCATCGATACACGAAGAATCCCGTGAACCCGCCATCGTGGTGGGAAAGTGGTAACCTTGGTGGTGTAACCCAAACCCGCCCACTCAACCGCTTTCATCCCACCCACCCCGGCCTCTCATGAAGCAATCCTGAAACGCAGCCCTCAACACCACGACGACCAGCACCGCAACCGCAACCCACCACGTCCCTTAGAGTGCCCTCTTACTAGTGAAATTATCTCTTTCCAACGACCAAGTCACAACCAAGAAATGTGTGAACATGCCACAGGGTGCCAGAGGTTGAACAGGCGGGACGAACCAGCAAATCGCCATGCAGCGGCAAGAGAGGCATGTCGCCTCGAACGAACGTACGTGACCCTGCAACTTTCTTTCTGGCACAGACACACAGATCCCCCCCGGTCTTCTTCAGCGGCCGTTTTGCTCCTGTCGAGGTTTTGGTGTAAGGTACGAGGTGACGGAAAGGGTAAGTCCTTGGTCAGTCAGTCAGTCAGTCAGACAGCTTGCCTTTCATCAGGGATCTATAGCTGGTCGTTGCCCGCCAGTCTTGACGCGAGGAGCGAGAGCAAGTTTATGATGTTGGTCTGTGAGATGGGGTGAGCAAGTTGTCGTGTTGGTTTGTGGTAGATGGGCACGCGACACATGAAATGCTACAGTCTTTCCAGTAACGGTAAGAGCTGAAAAGAAGGACAAACCTCGAAGTCTGTTCGATCTGGTGGGAAATACCAGAACGTTGAAGATATCCCCGGTCACTTAGGTTGGATATTGGGCTGGTCGGAATAGCAGCTCTTTGGCCACTGCTTTTTTTTTTCGTTTCTAAGGCCACCATGCCCTATATCACACATTTGCATCTTGTAAGCGGAATGTTGCACGTCTCTTCTTATTCTCCGATTCCGCCTTTAGTGCTGTCCTTGTCTTGCGGTCGCAGTCAATCCCCCCAATTTGCTTGGACAATTTGGGACCAAGTCATGGCCTTGTCACGGTCTTTTCCTCATTTCCAGGGAGACAGTCCAACACTCGAACCCATCCGCGTTGCGCCTCACTATTCGTATCCCAGCGTGTAATACGGCAATCAGCCCTCGTCTCCCTACGGTCTTTGGACGCATAACTTGACGCCATCACATTCCATGAAAACCCAACCACCGTCTGTTAAACAAGATCGTTTGTTGTCTTTCATATGCTCTCTCGTCTTTCCTTTCCCAGATTCCCGGCGGGTTGAATTCCAGCAGGGTGGAACTAGCGCCGTCTTAGCGCCCCTCCATCCTCCCTGTCTCCACCTCCGAGTCTCCGACCTCCCCTCCCGTGTCGTGCTTGCCGTGGAAGGTGCGTGGGTGTGGGTGTGGTGTGCGCGCCTGCCCAGAAAACTTTAGGGGTGCAAGTGGAGGTGGTACGTCCCCTAAACCGTTGGTCCGGGAAGAACCTTGACGGTCTGGGCCCTTTCGGCTTCTTCTTGCTTTGGCCTTTGTTTTTCTGTCTCTCTTTCCTTCCTCTCAAAGTCTTGAGGAGGTACCTAGGTACCGCACGGGCACGGCGGGGACTTAAGGCTGCCAATGGAAGTTGAAAATCGGGAAAGAGTGAACTGAATACCGGTAGGTTCTAGGTAAGGTAGGTACTGGGAAGGAAGGAAAGTGCTGTGTGTTACTCATTAGGTAGATGAGGCGAGGCGAGGTGCGAAGGAAGGAGCCTCGTGGTGCCTCTTGCTTTTCCCCCTTTTGTGGCGTCTTTGCGCTATTCCGCTTTCTGGCAGGCTGCCGTCACTGGTCTCTGCCGTTCCTGCTGCCTCGTGTCGCCGTTTTTCGAAGTGGCTTACAAGGCAAGAAGGTGCCCAAGTTGCTTCCTTCCATTGTGTGCAACTTCTAAAGTACCTTACCACGGTATTTTGCCTGTCTCTGCTTCGCTGCTTCCTTGGCGGATTACTTTACCTGCGACTGCCCCCCTTCCCGACAACTCGGTTTGGCTTTTCTGGTTTCTCCAAGATACCTTCCTACCTTGCCTTCTGAAATACAACGCCATCTTCGTCCACCACAGCCAGTACTCGGACGAGATTCATCCAAGAAAAGAACAAAAGGAAAGCTGGTGTCGGACAACAACTGCAGCATCTCCAATCACGACCAGGCCACCGGATCTTCCCACCTCATCCTGTCCTTCCCCAGGTGAACTACTGCAGGTAGCCCACCGTTCACAGCTTCTGCAGACCGCAGACAACTGGCGCTGTGCAGATCGAAGCCTTGCCTCATCGGGTGCAACTTACACCACGCACCACCACCACCCACCACGCGCTGCGCAACGTCAACCTCCTCCTCCGAGTCCCCAACTCTTGCTCCTTCTTCCCTTCTTCCCATCTTCCTTCTCCTCTTTCCGCTCCCAGTCTACAACTATCGCAGCATCGCCTTGCTTAAACTCGACTCAGCCTCCCTTTGCGCGAAGTAGCACGCAGTAGCGACCAGATAGAATTCAATAACCCGCCAGGCCAAATACGAGGTCCCCTCCCTTTACGGATACTTCCTGCCTGTCACTTTTGCACCCGCAGCTGCGCCTACGCCCGCGCCTGCCACCACAACCTTGAACCAACCACCCCCCCGCCCATCCCGGCACCTTCAGTCCGGGGCAACTTGGCACCAACACCCAGCACCCAGCACTCAGCACGAGCGCAAGCACCGCCAGCCTGTGCACGAGCAGAAGAAAGGCAGCCACGGCACACTCGGTGCCATCCATCGTCATTCTGTCCTGTCCTGTCCTGTCCTGTCCATCTTCTCTTCTTCAACATACCGAACGACATAATCAACTTTACATACCAAAATCCGAGTCTCGACGCTTGTTATCGCTAGTTGCGCCTCTGCATTTCATCCGCTAGCCGTTCACCAAAGTCGCATCTAATCCCATTCCATTTACACACACCCATACCGCACCTCCTCCCCACCACGGCCTTCACCATGTTCGGAATCCAGCATCACCCAGACCTAACACGGAAGAGGGGACGTGACGATGAGGAGGACATGCACAATGGCACTCTGAGCTTTGGTGAACACAGAAACGTACGCCATGCCCATTTTTTGCTTGACCCTCTTCTCTGTGATCATCTGGAATACCATGGCTGACTTTTCCCCCCCCGTGAAACAGAAACGCCTTCAATGCCTACCACTCCGAACATCGCCGACGTCCTCGAAGCGCTGGTCTACGCCCGTCATACCGCTCAATGCCGCTCCTTGCACTCTGACACCAGGCGATTCGGACTCGGAGGAACAGCCCAGGTCACACTTCTCGCCATGGTCCTCATCACCCGCACCCATGTCTTGCCAGCCCTCGCCATTTGGTCCGACCGAGCCTGATCGTGACATGGACATGATGGACACAATGTCGCCGCCGCCTATCCCGCAGCAGCACATCCAGTCGGACCAGCCCGCCTCTGTCAACGGCCGCATGCCCACCCCGATTCAGCCAAACTTTTCCTCCCAATTCATGAATGGCGGCTCCTCGGCTCGCGACTGGCGTGGCCCGGGACCCGCCGTCAGCCATCGTACCGGCGTCGTGAATATGGGCCACATGCACGCCGGCTTCGGCAGCGACGAGTCCCGCTCCATTCCCCGTACCATGGAGGGCACCGACGATTGGCATGCTGTCCAGAATCGCCGTCTGCCATCGCCTATTAGTGAAGGCGAGGACTCGGCCAGCCATCTGGGCAGTGGAAGCCTTAGCCCTCCAGGAATGGTCCTCGACAACGGCTTTCCGTCCAACCTGACTGCCCGCTTAGAACAGTCATCTCTCAACGGACACGGCCATCACGATATGGGCATGATGGAGGTGGAGGACCACTCGCACATGATGAGCGATGATCCCGTCACTACCACCATTGACGCCGCCCCCCTTGAAACGACGTCAGCACCGGCAACACCCTCGCCTGGACGCAAGGGACACATCCGATCTAGGCACACTGTCAACTCGTGGACTTGGCAGCCTGGCATGAAGAAGAGCTTCAGTATTGGTTACCGTGCTGATTGCGAAAAGTGCCGCCTCAAGGTGCCGGGCCACTTTAATCACATTGTTGTCTCATAGAACGGGCAAGAAATCGTTTTACCCGATGATTTGGCGTTGCAAATGTTTCCCAAACGGAACAGGCATCGCCCTAAAGAAGAACAAAAACGGAGGGAGTTTGACGAAAGGTGCTTTGAAGAATTTCAAGACCGACAAGCGATTGCATTGATTCAATCAGGATGGTGTGTTCCGGTCGAGTAGACACGGGAATTATGATTTCGGGATGGGGATTTTTCAAAGACATGGAAGTCTCGGCTGGCGGTAATACCACATTTAGCGCACATATTTTACACTCGCTCGGGGCTTGTTGGGCAAGCTCTGTTCTCACGGTTCATAGGTTACCGGCATGTATTATTTGGGATTGGGGAGTCGACTGGCCCGGCGTGGCAGTTTGAGACTCGGCGGAAGCCTGCATTCTTGAAGCGTTTTCGCAGTTGTACATAATGCCGGTCCAAAGGACATAATCAAGCGGCGAAAATACGCCAGCACTGTTCATTGTTCAACTTTGCTCTCCGTATGTGACCATGTATTCGGAGATGAGGAACTCTCGAGAGATGATCTTCGTGCGTGTGTCAAGCAAGTGGCCCCGAGGGGATATAAGTTGCTGGGTACGGGGTGCTTCAAAATGGAACAGAACCTGGCTGTGCAGAGACCAAGGTGATGTTATTTCTCCCTCTTTCCCGCATGCAAAACTTTGTAAAGCCGGACGCCGTCTAATGCACAATCCAGTCTAACACGTATGATACAGTGACACTTGGCAGCCTCCTCCTCTTCGTCCTCCTCACCATGGTAAAAGACGGCCTCTCTACCTCCTCTTCTCTCCCTACTCACCCCCAAATTTTGTACCGACATAGGTGTCCGTCTCTCCGACTCTCTATCTAGGGGTGGAGATTGTCGTTTCTCGTACACTTCCTCCAAAGCCGACTTCTTTCTGTTTCAGTGCACCAGCTATCGTCACATTCAGATACAAAGACCGCGCCGTCCTCCCTCGGTCCACTTCACCCCTTCTTGTGTATCATATTACAACACCGGCCGTCAGAGTTGTCCTAGATTGGATGAACGTGGTGGATGGTGGTGCTTCCTTTACCACCACCCCTTCTTCTCGGCCTTCTTCTCCTCCTGCGGGAGACCGACCTGGTCCAGCGGGCCGCCCCGGCGCTGGTTCTCCCTCTCGCGCTCGAAAGCGGCCTTTGCCTTGTCCTGGAGGAACTCTTTCCTGTCCTCGACGGCGCGCGCGAGGTCCGTGGCGCGGACGCCCGAGGACTCGTCTTCCTCGCTCCAGCTGGTCTCTGCGGCGTCGGATTTGCTGCTGCCGCCAAAGGGCCACCAGCTGCTGCTCTTCTTTTGTTGCGGCGCGGGTGCAGCTTCAGAAGTCGTGGGGAACGCGGGAGCAACCGTCGTCGTCGTGGGAGCTTCGGCGGTCCGTTGCTGGCCTGTACCAAAGATCTTTTCGGCTCCCGTCGTGTGGGTGGGCGCGGAAAGCAAGGGCGGGAGCTTGACGCCCGTCTCGCGGGCGAGGGCGTTTGCCTCCTCGACGAGGGTGATTTGGGTGTCGGTGGCGGTGCCCTTGATGAAGGCGAGGCGGGCGGTGGCGAGGGCGTCGTCTTCCATTTTGCGCTGGGCTTCGATGAAGTCGGTGCGGCGTTGCTTGTTGTAGGTTACCATGTCGTAGACGGAGTAGACGGAGACGAGACCTGCGATTGCTTTGGGGGTGTTAGCCTTGCTTCATCCTCTTCCTCCATGTGTATCCTCTGAGGAAATCTCGAATTGACGGCGTAGACAGTGTCCATTCTCACTGCTCCAGCAATCGTACGAGGGGTTTTATAGACATACCCGTAAACCCGACCAAGCCGAGGACGGTGAACTTGTGCGCGACATCAAAGAAGCGACGGCTGCCGCCAATGGCGCGGTCGAGGCTGGACGTCTGGGCCTTGCGCGCCGCCTCGTGGGCGGCGCGGAGGCGGCGGACGCGGTCTTCGGGGCTCTCGCCCGGTTGCCGGCCGGGGATCTTGGGAGGCTGTGGTGACTTTGTCGCTGGTGTTGAGGATGCTGTTGCTGTTGTCGATGTCCCTGTCGGTGCTGCTGCTGCTGCTTCTGCTGATGTGGGAGAGCTCTTGGATGCGGCGTGCGGGGTGGTCGAGGTGAAGCGCGTTGCGTCCGAGGCGCTCCGGGGGCCTACTCTGGATGCCATTGTGAAAACCGTTCGAGGGGGTGGGTGATGGATCCGTCAATTGGCAATTGAACAATCGTTTCGGCTGGGGGAGAGGGATGGTTCGGGCAGATGACGGTATCAGGGTCGTCGATTCGGTTTTGCCTGTGAGGTCCGCGACGTTACGTTGTCTCTCTCTCTCTCTCTCGGAACACGGGGGAATGGGACGGGGGGCGACGCAGAAGCCGAAAAAAGCACTTGTCATGAGATTTTTTGGAGCTCTGGGAATTGAATGGGTCCCCTTGGGCCTGGGCTGCATGGTTTTTTGGAGCGTTGTGATTGGTGCGGCTTGTCCCGGGGTCTTTTCTCGTACGACGACGGGCCAGCTGCTCGGGAAGGGAGCTTTTCGAGCTGTCACGTACCCGTATGGCCAGTTGGGTCAGGCTGGAGCCAGCTGGCGGATCATCAGTCGTCGACGAAGGATATTTCAAGGGAGTCGAGGCCAATTCACTCGTGGCAGTAAGGCGATATCAGGAGAAAATGTTCTTTTTCAATGACAATCGGTCAAATTTACGTACAACGAGAGCTTCCACTGCTGCAGATAAATATGGCGTGGATTGAGCGTCTGGCCAGATCTGAAGAGATTGCAGGTAGCCCTGGTTCGAAAGAAACATCTACGAACTGCCAGGGCATCGGAAGCAAGTTCTGCATGCTTGGAGGACACACAATTGACGTCTTGAATTTCTTCTGAGCTCCCTCGTAGCTTGATAATCACTGGGGCATGATGGATGGCCACCTGGACAAAAGTCTGGTCTGGTTCATGATCCGAGGCGCAGCTCAGCTTCCTCTAAGCCGCGATTTACGGAATTTAGGAGTCTTGTTGGGTGGAGATTCGCAGCGCGGAAACGGCCATCGACGGACATAGACATTCGAGGGGGAGAAAGCTTTGCAAGCGATACTTATTCAACACAGCAGAAGTCATTCACGAGGGGCTCTTCTTCATGACCCTGCACCAGGCAGAGCGCACAATGAAAAGGGTTGAAAATCAAAAATTACAACAGCGATGGCCCCGAAGGACTATCGAGAGAGGAGGGCTCCACGATGTGCAATGCAGGCATCCCTCTCTGCGTACCGGATTTCATGATCCCCAGTACACCCATCAAGGTAAGTATGAAGAAGAAAAAGAGGAAAGGAGAGGAAAGGGGAGAGGACAGCGGGGCTTTATATAGGTCTACTGCAATCTCCCAAGGTGCGCCGCAATCAGTAATGGGAGGTAGTTAGTGTCACGTGCGCAACGACCCTTTTTCGATGTGCCTGAGGCGGAAGGGAAGAGTTCGATTGGAGGGGAGAAAGAGTACGTATCTGTTTATCGATGGATTCCATCAAATTCAACCACGGATGGGAAGGAGCACACTGGGGCAGAGGGGCGCCTAAGTGACAGCACCTGCTGGAGTCGAGCTACCAAAGTATGACATGGCGGGAAGGTACCACCTCGAAGATGGGGGGTAACATTCTGAGGCGACAGGTCGACCATGGGAAGGAGCGTCTCATGAAGAAATAAGGCAAGCACTGAAGCGTCTCAGTGACTACTGGAGCAGGTGCACTTTGGCTTTCCGTAATGTGGATGATATCAAGACATCGAAATGGAACTTCGAGATACTCTGCATCATCAGTCCGTATTTGCCAACAAGAAGGGTTGACGGCCTCACGTGAGACTTGTGCCAAGGTATGCCAGCTAAGACGGGGTATAAAGAGCTGGTGAAGGGGATATACACGTATCTTGCAAAAACAAGTGAGCACTGAACAGAGGGGTTTCACCAACAAACACAAACACGCCCTAGCTGGGCGTGTATTTCAAGATGTTCGGTGGAGCTGCCGTCTCATACTTCACGAAACAAATCCTTCGTGGTACATTATGATCTTCAGAGCACTGAAAAAAAATGAGAGATGTAGTGGCTAGCGAATTTGGCAAAGTGGTAGATGGATGGGCGATTGGACGCAGTATCCAAATAAATTGCCCTAGTGCGATCAAGCCTTCGTACTAGGAGATTGAAGACGACGATATCAAACATAGAATAGGTACCTACGTCGACGGCTCCATGGATCGCATGAGTGCTCTCTCATGGGTAAAGTGGTTCCCGACAGCTGATATCCACTTGTAGACCGAAAACTCATCGCCTCAGCCACAAGATGAAAATCCGGAATAGGGTTCGGCCGTCGCCTGTCCTTCACGCTGCCGGACCAAGTGGATCCCACAGCCAATGAACAATTGCGACCGTCCCACCCCAAAAACCTCCAGTACGTACTGGCCCTTCGTAGGGTTTTCATGCCCTCCAGAGATTTTGACTCGTCCCTCTCAAGGAATTTTCGAAGCCTGCAGCAGCATCTCGACGACGGCCCATCCGGACTACTAACCCCTTGATCGCGCAATACAGGCACAATGGTAAGTCGATACGCCCACGAGACTCGCCATTGATGGCGTCGCATCGCAAATACTGACATTTGACTTTTTTCCAGGCGATCGCACACAACCAGCAGATCCCCCACAACCGTGAGCACCCCTCCACGCGAAGAGCGACGATTGCGAAGACGACGACCATCGAGACACAACAGAGTACTGACACCATTTGACCAGACTTCCGCAAGGATTGGCAGCGCCGGGTCCGGACGCACTTCGACCAGGTATGATTCTTTTGAGCAGGATACTCCTTATTTTCCAACCCCGGGGAAACAGACGAGATCGGGAAAAATGGAAATGGCACAAGAGGAATTTGGATCTGACTTGGAACATCACAACAGGCCGGCAAGAAGCACAGCCGCCGTGTCGCCCGTCAGGCCAAGGCCGCGAAGGTCGCTCCCCGTCCCACCGACTTGCTCCGCCCTGTCGTGAGATGCCCTACCATCAAGTACAACCGCAAGGTCCGTGCCGGCCGCGGTTTCACCCTGGACGAGCTTAAGGTACGATACTGAACCCCGCGAGGCACGCCCGGTGCCAGGAAGGACGAAGATTTGGGAAAGTTTTGAGAGTTAACGCGAGACTGCTAGGCCGCCGGTATCCCCCGCCTTTACGCTCCCACCATCGGTATCGCCGTCGATGGCCGCCGCAAGAACCTGAGCGAGGAGTCCCTGGCCGCCAACGTCGCCCGCCTCAAGGCCTACAAGGAGCGCCTCGTCGTCTTCCCCCGCCGCTCCAACAAGGTCAAGCAGGGCGACTCCAAGGTCGACCTCTCCAAGACCGAGACCGTCAAGTCCCTCTCCGCCGCCCTCCCCATCGAGAAGGCCGCCTCCGGCTTCTCCGAGATCTCCAAGTCCGACCTCCCCAAGCCCATCGAGGGCGGTGCTTACCGCAAGCTCCGCGACACGAGAGCCGAGGCCCGCAACCTGGGCAAGAAGGAGAAGCGCGCTCGCGACGCGGCCGAGGCCGAGGCTGCCAAGAAATAAACGCAGCACGTCTCTGTCTTTGCTACCGCTGCTGCTCTGCTGTCGTCTCTTGTGGTGTCGGGGGGCTTTGTTTGATGCTGCGGCTACTAGTGCAGCTAAGCTTAAGCTGCTGCATGGAAATGGGATTTTCGGCTGCTGCTTTCGACACATCAAAAACACTTTCGGAGAAGGGAAAAAAGTTCTTCGAAAGTCGGGTTGTTTTCTTCTGGCCTGGCGTGGGTTCAGTGGATTGAGATACTCTCAGGACAAGGTCATAAAGAAATTATTGCATTGATCACGCCCGCTTGTGTCGATTGCTGCCCCCCCTACACACTCCCCCAAGAATTTCCCCGTCGTCTAATCGACCGGGCGTAGGAAGACGCATCGTACGAATACGACGTGACGTGTATCATGGGTTAAAGGTGACAGGAGTAGACTAAGGATTGATTCGATTGCTTTTCCAATTGTGGTTCCATTCCGTGATGCTGTGATCTGACGTTGGTCTATCTTGTGAATTTAGTTGTCTCTAGACATTTCGAGTATGGCTTCTCGCTTTACTTGGATCGACGTAGAGGAACAGCGTGACCAGGCATCATTTGCTTTCATATCTCAACTACGCTTTGCCCTTCCCCTTCTCATCAGCCATCAACTCACCACCCTCCTTCAACATCTCCTCAAACGCGGCCCTCCTAACAGACGGCAATTCATCAGCGTGCCTCTTGACAAGCTCCGACACCATGACCAGCCCATTCTCCCGATCAACCTTCTTCATCCCCGCCGCCTGCGACGGATCAGCCTGCTGCGGCTCCAGCCCAAGACCCTCTACCATGGCAGCATTATCTCCACCGCTGACAACCACCGCTTGTCCATCACCACTCGCTGCCGTCGTCCCCTCAATGGCCTTCTGATCCGTGCCGTTGCTGCTATCCTCCCCAGAAAACGTCCTTCCGGTAACAGCCTCCGTCAACGCCTCAAACGCCCCAGGAACCTGCAGCGTACGCAGAACCACATCGGCCCCGTCCTTGGCGCGACACATGAGCGCGAAGACGAACCACGCCTCGCTGCGTAGCACGGGGAACTTTGTCTGCGTGACGAGGAACGCGAGCGCCTTGTTCAGGCTCGGGTGCCGCCTGTAAAACTTCTCCCGACGCTGCGCGCCGCCGTCGCCTTCTGCCTCGGCCACGGCCGTCGCGGGCAGCGGGTTCTCGGGGCGGAAGACGTAGCCGTCCTCGGAGGGGTCCCAGTCCGGTAGGATGGGCGGGATGGGCGCGGTGTGCAGGACGCGGCAGACTGCCGCGGCGGCGCGGGCGGCTTCTGTTTTTGTGTGTTCTGCGTCGGTGCGGGATACCATGTCGAGGAGGCGATGGAGGTGTGTCGTTTCGTGGGAGGGGGATAGAGGGTCCGGGGAGAGGGGCGCGCAGAGGCGGCGGACGTTTGTGGGTGTGTTTACGAGGAGGAGGCGGGTTAGGGAGACTGCTGTGAACTGGACTTGAGGGTTTACGTCGAGGGACCAGATACGGGGGAGGATTTCTGGGGAGAAGAGGCCGGCGTCGCCGAGGACGGGTTTGTTCTGGGAGGGGATGGCGAGGTTTTTGGCAAAGGAGAGGGCGGAGTGGAGGAGCATCGTGTCTGTTGCTTTGGCGAGGAGGGCGGCGAGCGGGAGGTGGACGGCGTGGGATTTGACGAGGGCGTAGGAGGCTTCGTCTGAGCGGGCGACGTTGCCTAGGCAGAGGCAGGCCGCGGCCTGGAGGTGGGTGTTGTTGGGCGTGAGGGTGAGCCAGCTGTAGAGAGTGTCAAGGACGGGGGAGCCGATGGGGTGGTGGAGGGCAAAGTCGTCTGCGTAGGAGACGTCTGCGAGGATCTGGATGAAGGATTGCGGGAGGGATTTGAGGAGGACGGCGGCGTCTTCGTCTTCGACGCGGAGGGCGTCGAGCTGGGTTTGGAGGTGGTAGAAGGTGGCGAGGAGGACGGGAACGGAGCCGGTTGCGATGAGGGCGGCTTGGATGGGCGCGTGGGTTAGGTAGGCTAGGGCGACGGCGGTGAGGGAGACGAAGTCTTCTGCGTCGGTTGTGGGTGTGAGGGCGAGGGTGAGGAGGATGGTTGGTGTTTGCGGGGGTGCAAAGGTGGCTTCAGTTTCTGGGTGAAGGGAGTGAGCTTTGTGGTTCTTCAAAGATGACTGTGTGAGTGAGGGAGGGGGTTGGGTGAGTGAAGCATACCATGTGTGGCGAGCAAGGCGAGGATCTTGCCAATGATACCCATGAGATGCGGCGCGTTGGCGAGGCGTGGGCTGGTGAGGAGGTTGACAAGGTGGAGAGTGAGCGAGGAAGAGCTCGCTTGGATTTGGGCGGGCTCGTAGTCGACGAGGATGTTGTATAGGACTGGCACAGCGAAGGGAAGGGCGGTGTCGTCGGTGAGAAGGGTGATGATGGAGGTGATTGCGTTTGATGCCACGACCCTTGCGCGGTTTTCGTCTAGATATTGCGTTAAATTACTTTCCTGGAGAGAATGTGTGAACAAGCTTGGTACCTGTGTCGGCGCATGAGTTGCCGAGTAGACGAAGAGAGTGCTTCTTCAACGCCGGTCTGAGGTTCTCCGTGGAAATGACGGTGAGGAAGAAGTCGACGATGCCCGAGTCTCCCAGAGGCAGTCTCCATGATGCTGTTAAATTTGTTATTATAGATCTTCTCAAAATCGGTAGTGTGAATCAAGGGGCATCACCATCTCTGCTTCCATCGCCCAGCTTCTCCGCAACAAGGTCAATCTCTTGACTGCCACTGTTCCATTGCTGCTGCGCAGTGAAGAGTACATCGCCCAGCAGTGCGGTCCTGTGCGCGCGGCTCTGATCTACGGAGCCCGGGTCAGCCCAGGCCGAGGCGGACGAGAGGATGTTGGCGATGGCGTCTGGCGTGAGAAGCTTGCCGCCTTCCAACGACTGTTGCTGGGATGCTGATTCAGCCATGGCAAATGGTCGTGATATCTAAGGGTGTCTTGTCTCCTATCCAAAGATGAACTCAGCTAGAAGAGAAAAAGGGGAAAAGGCCAACCAGCTTATAAGTGAATTCCTCACTCTAAGGTAACTCGAAACGAATGGCAGAACTGGTTTAGTCGTCCTCCTTGTTGCGTCGTCTTGTGCTGCCCGGAGATGGGATGAGCTGCGAGATGCTGCGGCCGGCGCGAGTTCCTTTCCCTTTTGGTGTGGGCGTCGTTGGTGGTGGGGTTGTAGTTGTCGCAGGTGATTGGCTTGCGGGGGTTTGTGCGCCAGGGTGGGTCCTTCGGAGCTTCGGCCATGATTTGTGACGGCCCTCTGCCGCCTGCCGCCTCCGGGTGACGGCGTCTGCTCCGGACTCGGTATTTTGTTGGCAGTGTTCTATTTCAAAGCTTTTTAGTCATTGTTGGGATCTGGTTAGAACTATGAGGCCTCTTGTGGCATTATTTCAGAACTCTCCGCTGGCGTTGGATGCTAGGACTGCGACGTATTCTTTGGTTACTGTTTTGGTTTGGAAACAACAGAAAAAGCAATAGGAAATCCACGTACATTCAACACCAAAAAGAAATTACTATCCAGTAGCATGAAATGAGTCATAAAACATCCGAGAATTTTATAATATCTTTTATCTGGTGGTCAAAGAAGTCTTCAGTTATGTCACTTCCGCCGGAGGATGAGACTAAGAGACCCTTTGATGAACGCATCAGATGCTGGCCATTTCACTTCAATCACCTCGGTATAGTGTTTCGATGAGAGAAAGAAAGTGAGATATTACAGACAGAACAAGATGAAATGAGATAAGTGCTTATCGTACAAAATGAGTGTGATGATTGGCTCTACTGGAATGATGAAAAGAGCTTCTCAGCTTAATAACTGAAGATGGAGCGAAACAAGTGAGATCCATGATAATCAATAACAAGTTTACAGGAAGGAAAGACAGATTTAAAGCACGACATTTCATAGATCGTTCAGACCCTCTCAGTGACAACTACACCCACACTCCTTGGCATCCTTGCAATCTTTCCCACAAGCAGACTGCTCCGCGGGCGCGCACTGCTCCTTGCCAGAACACGTCCGCCAGTTCCCGTGCCCGGCATTCCACGCCGTCCAGCACCAAGTGCCCTTGCTCCTATCACACGACTCCCAGCAGTAGCCCTTGCTGCACCCGTACCCGTCGCCGAACCAGCACTCGCGGGCCTGCAGGTTCGGAGACGAGCCGAATTTGAGGGTCAGGGGGTGCTCTCTGCACTTGCGGATGTTGGCGGGGTCGACGTTGGTGTCGAGGGAGGAGGCCGTGTAGGACATTACGCCGAGGTCGCCGCATTCTTCGGCGGTGGTGGAGGCGATGCCGGCTAGAGCGGGTGGGAGGTTGGTGGCAAGGGCGAGGAGGATGGCGGTTGTGAATTTCATGGTGGCGATCTGGGATCTTTGTTAGTGAGGCGAAAATTTGGTGGGACTAATTGGGTTCTCACGTTGTTTTGCAATACCGAATCCACAAAGCGTGATTTTACTATCTCCTAATACTCTCTTCTTGTGAGCTGCCCTATCTAGCTCCTGCAGCTTGGTCCGGGGAACGATATTGTATTTGTAACAGAAACTCGTATCTCATCAGGGTCCAGTCTTCGTAGTCGATACATAATGAAGGGTAAACAACTACATGCTCATCTCACAGTCACACTCTTAGCTCAGGTAAACTTAAACGTTGCGGTGAGGATGATGATGCCTCATCGTGCACAACATTCTTTCAAACAGGTAATCGCCAGACTATCCGTCAGAATGTACAGCCCCAATGTAAGTAATCGTGTAGTAATTGGTACGAGGGCAATCCTTCTTATGATTCAGTCAGCGTTGTGTAAGTATGCCAAGATGTAAGCGATTGTACTCATGTTGATCCTTGGAAGAGTGATCGTAAAGTGTCTGAGATAACTCCATTTACATACAATTGACTCGTAGCTTGGCAACACCCACGCAACGAGGCCTCCGTGGGGAGAGATCGAGTAAGGTAGAAAGAGTTAAACCTTTGTCTTTTCCCCTG